CTGTAAAACCATCTGGTCCTGGACTTTTCTTAGCTGGGAGGTCTCTTATTGCTGTTTCTATTTCAGTGCTTGCTATGGGCCTGTTAAGATAGTTTAATTCATCTTGGTTTAGTTTTGTCATGTCAATATTTGATAGGAAAAGGTCCATTTCTAAGACAGAAATTCTTATAGCATAAAAGTCACCCATTTGAATTGTTCAACTGGTGATTTTTAAAATGTTCACAGGAATTTAGCCATTACCATTACCTAATTTCAGAACATTTTCATCACCCAGAAAAAAGCATCATAATGTAGCATCCACTTCAGATCATCTTCCTCACACCTCAAGGCAAAGAATCACTTATCTATTTCTATTGATTGGCCCTGTTGTAGACATTTCATATGAATGAAATAATATAATATGTGTCACTCATTTATCTTTTACTTAAGATAATGTTTCAAGATTTATCATGTTATAGTATATATTTGTACTTCATTCTTTTTTCTTGATTTAACTGTCTTTTTTTTGCATGACCACACATATTTATTTATAAGCAAATTGTATTAAGTGCAGAATCTGTTACTTGCATATATTCTTGTAACTTTCAAGATACAGAGAAGAATGGCTCATGGATTAGAGACAGGTGACTTCTTCAAAATGACCCAAGGTCAGAACAGAAGTGGAAAAATAGGAATTGCAGAACTAGACAGGTTCTTCCATTACTAATAACATGTTATTAGAAAATTATTAGACAATTAAATTCTATATTTTTCATTTTACTCATATATACATGGAGAGAGTAGCTAGGTCAAAGTACTTCCATAAGTATTAAATTAGATAATACTGAATACTGTCTGAGAATAAAGGACAATCAGGGCATCACATTTGAGTTACAGATTTCATTTCCCCATCTTATAATTTTAGGATGTTTAAGCTTCGACATTGTCATTATCTTCATTGACAAAACATTCCATACTGTTGAAATTCTCTCTCTATATATTATATATACTTACATATATTATATATTATATGTATATTATATATAATTATATATGTATAGCACTTTGAGAATTTTAGCATACATTAAGCAAGCAATGCACAATATTTTAAATAATTCTCTTCATTTTTGCAAAGTTGTTTTGAAGACTTGGTTCATGTCTGTAATGTTTGCAGAACACACTTTTGTTTATGCTAAGGTTGATTACAAATTGATTTCTAGTTTATATATACCAAATTCTGTCATACTTTCCATTCTAATATGGCGAATTCTTTTCAATTAGTTGTCTACTTTCAATAGTTATTATTAAATAAAATAGACATTCATATTTTCTTAGTTTTTCTGTTCAATAAACTCATGCATGAGATGATTTAACTGTCTTAATCCTTGAATATAAAAAACTATCTACTTTCTTGAGTGATATTCAAATGGGTTCCAGTTTTTCACTACAATAACGTTTTATGACCTTTTCTGCTTCCCTAATTAATGCAAGACTGGTTCTTACTAACTTTTAATGATTTGCTTAAGTTCACCAATCAATTTCTCCTAATACAATGTTTTCTATTATGGGGTTTGAACTTAGGCCTTTTGTTTGCTTGTCTTGGCTCTACCAAGTGGCTCTACCACTTGGGCTGCCTCCAGCCAGACTTTTTGCTGGTTAATGGCAGATGGAGTCTTGCAGACTTTTCTGCCTTAGCTGGCTTTATACCTTGGTCCTCTAGATTTCAACATCTTGAATAGAATTATAGATGTGAGCCATTAGGTGCCTGTTTAGATTGTATTTTTTAATAGTTGTGATATTGAATGGTAAAATTTCATTTTACCATTTGATAATAGCATTAGAGACACATAGGCCATTTCATGGTGTTCTGCCTTGATCATTGCAATTGATCTGGTGTTAGGCAAAGGGCACAAGGCCCCCAAGAAGTAGAGAGATATAGGAAGATCTAAATTTCGATTCCATCATTTGAGGTTTTTATTAACTTTGGAATTCCCATTTATAAAAGTGTGATTGTCTCTCATGGTTGTTGTGAGGATTAAGTGGAAAGATTTTCATGAGGGTGACTGTTATATGGTAAGCTTTAGTCAGTGTCCCTACAGAGCTCAGATAAGAAATGAGACCATAGGAAAAGCTGTTTGGAATTTTTTTCCTGTTCTGACAACTATTCTTTGTGTAGTCTTCTCTCAGCTAGGTGTAAACCTGGAGGAAAAGAGCAATAAAGGGCTTGGTTGTTGTTCCTAGTTAACATCTATCACTGCTGGTACCATGGAAACCAGTGCTGTGTAAGGGCCAATCATGTTTTCTTACCATATTCTATCCTAGTCCCTTCTATGGGCACAGTAACAGCTCTAATTTTTTAGATTACATTTCTTCCTTGACTACTTTAGAAGGTAGTTTTCTATAAAATATGACTATAAGTTGGGACAGAGGTCACACAAACTCAGCACAGCAACGTATTTATGCCTTCAACCACTGTACCCAGATTAGTGAGTCACAGTGACAAGCAAGTGTGGACCAGAAATTAGCTTACAACTAATATACTTCTAGGGCCAATATTGTTTCTCAGAAAGAAAACAGAGCAAAACAATTTCTGAAGAACAAAATAACTGAAAAAACACAAAAATCCTCAGCCATGTTGGCAGTATCTGACATGTATTTTCTATTTTATCTCAGGAATCCTCAATTTGGCATCTGGAGTGGTAGATTTACTCCAGTTCTATTTCCCAGAATCTTTTGATCGCCTTCCAAGGGATTCTGGCCTCTTTGATGGTCCCAAACCAACTGTCCTGGAGTCTTGTAGTGTAAGCGACTTGGCAATTTTGCTACGAGGGAACAAAAGGAAAACCCAGCCTATTGAATTTGGTGCTCACCAGGTAAGCTTCTTGGTATTGTGTATTTCAAAAAATAAAAAGGGAAGTTTGCAGTTTGAAAAAGATTTGAGAGGGTAAATTATTCTGTAAGCAGAATTCGGTAACCTCTAACCAAGAATAGATGAGTGACTAAATAGAATTAACATTTCTAAGGTCCTAGTTGATCAAGTTTATTTTGGCTAGTTCTCTGTAAAGATGTAGTCTATGTCCTGTTGGAGCTTTACCATTTTTAAAAAAAATGAATCTAATGCTGTTTTGTTTTGCTTCAGGTAATACTTGTTGCTAATGAAATGGCAAAGGAGAAAATTCCAGAAGAGCTGGGATTAGCTCTTGTGCTAACTGTTTATGAAGCAAAAGGATTGGAATTTGATGATGTCCTTCTTTACAACTTTTTTACTGATTCTGAGGTATGTCATACTGAATTCTTTTCAACAGTCCAAGTCTATGTATTAACTGAAATTGTACTCTGGAAAAAAAAATTGGAGCCAAGGCAAGAGTTTATTGTCAGTGCCTATTTGTGTTTTGGATCAACAGTCTGTTTATTGTGTAGGTTGCATATTTAGATATGGATTTTGACAATAGGTTGCTTTACTGTATGGCATGAGCTAGTTCTCCCTGTGCTTTCCACTGGCTCTCTTATATTCATGCCCAGTTTGTTATTACTGTTATGTTTAGTTCTTGGGGATACCAAAGTTAGAGCAAGTTGTAATGAGAGGATTGCAAATGAAGTTAAGGTTAGTTATATCCACTCTGTTAGAACAGAACTGGATATGGTCAATTCATAAAAAGACAACTCCTAGAAGTGAGTGAGTCTTGGTTCTTGCCTGCTGAGTCAGGTAATGTGGGGCGAAGGCCAGCCATCCCTGCCTAAGAACCCTCATCTGGCATGGCTTCACTATTGCTACTTGCAGATCATGGCAGCTAGAGTCCCTGGATTGACTACTAGTTACCTCTGTGTTAGTCATTGCTTTAACATGGCTCCTGAATCCTTATGATGGTTTTCCTACCTATACTTAGTTTATTTTTTTTGGTAGAGCCACCAACTCAAGACCATTCTCCTAGTGTTTTAGCAACTCTTTTCCTTCCTTCCTTCCTTCCTTCCTTCCTTCCTTCCTTCCTTCCTT